AGTGGTGAGAGCGGACATCCTTGTCGTGTTCCCGATCTTAGTGGGAAAGCTTTCAGTTTTTGCCCGTTGGGTATGATATTGGCTGTTGGTTTTTCATAAATGGCCTTTATTACGTTGAGGAATGCCCCATTTATTCCCATTTTGCTGAGTGTTTTGATAAAAATGGGGGCTGTACCTTATCAAATGCTTTTTCTGCATCTATTGAGATGATCATGTGGTTTTTGTCTTTTCTTTTATTTATGTGATGTATCACGTTTACTGATTTGTGTATATTGAACCATCCCTGCATCCCTGGGATGAATCCCACTTGATCGTGGTGGATACTCTTTTGAATGTATTGCTGGATGCGGTTTGCCTATGTTTTGTTGAGGACTTTAGCATCTATGTTCATCAGTGAAATTGGCCTGTAGTTTACTTTCTTTTAGGATCTTTGTCTGGTTTTGGGATCGGGGTGATGCTGCCCTCATAGAAAGAGTCAGGGAGTCTTCCCTCCTCTTGGATTTTTTGGAATAGTCTGAGAAGGACAGGGGTTAGCTCTTCCTTAAATGTTTTGTAAAATTCTCCTGGGAAACTGTCTGGCTCTCGGCTTTTGTGTGCTGGGAGTTTCTTGATTACTTCTTCAATTTCCCCAGCTGTTATTGGTCTGTTCAAGCTTTCTGTTTCTACCTCATTCAGTGTTGGAAGATTATCCTTTTAAAAAAATTTGCCCATTTCATCAAGATTTTCAAATTTCTTGGTATATAATTTTTCATAATAGTTTCTGATGATCATTTGTATTTCTGTGGTATCAGTTGCTATTTCTCCTCTTTCATTTCTGATATTATTAATTTGGGTCCACTCCCTTTTTTTCTTGATGAGTCTGCTCAAAGGCTTGCCAATTTTATTTATCTTTTCAAAGAACCAGCTTCTGGATTGGTTGATCCTCTGAATTGTTCTTTTTGTCTCTATGTCATTCAGTTCTGCTCTAATCTTGACTATTTCCTTCCTTCTACTTGCTCTGGGATTTATTTGTTGTTGTTTCTCCAGTTCTTGAAGTTGTAGTGGTAGGTCTTTTATTTGAAATGTTTCTATCTTTTTTAGGTAGGCCGGTATTGCTGTGAACTTCCCTCTAAGGACCGCTTTTGCTCTGTCCCTTAGGTTTTGGACTGTTTTCTGTTCATTTTCATTGGTTTCCAGATATTTTTTGATATCTTCTCTTATCTCATTATTGACCCATTCATTGTTCAATAGTGTACTGTTCAGTCTCCATGAGTTTGCAAGCTTTTGAAGTTTCTCTTTGAGGTTGATTTCGAGTTTCAAGGCCTTGTGGTCCAAGAAAAAGTTTGGTATTATTTCAATTTTCCTGAATTTGCTGAGGCTTGTTTTGTGTCCTATCATGTGGTATCTTTGAAAAACTTCCATGAGCATTTGAGAAGAATTTGTATTTTTCTTCTTTGGTATGTAAGGTTCTATATATGTCAGTTAAGTCTATTTGATTCAGTGTGTCATTCAACACCACAATATGTTTATTAATGTTTTGTTTGCTAGATCTGTCCATTTTTCACAGTGTGGGGTTGAAATCCCCTACTATTACATCTGTAATACATCCTTTTTGAAGTCATCCAACAACTTCCTCATAAACTTTGGGGCTCCTCTATTGGGAGCATATAAGTTTACAATGTTGATGTCTTTTTGATATATTCTTCCTTTAAGTTTTATAACATGCTCCTCTGGGTTTTTCTTTATGGCCTTTGTTTTGAAATCTACTTTGTCTGATACAAGTACGGCAACCCTGGCCTTTTTCTTATACCCATTTTCTTGGAATATTTTTTTCCATCCCTTTACTTTCAATCTGTGTAGGTCTCTTCCTCTGACGTGGGTCTCTTGTAGGTAGCATATGTGTGGGTCATATTTTCTTGTCCATTCAGCTACCCTGTGTCTTTTGATTGGGGCATTTAATCCATTCACATTGAGAGATATTACTGATAGAAACTTAGTCATCTTTTCTCTTTGTACCTGTGTTCCTCTCTGTCTCATTCTTTTCCTTCGTCTGCTTAAACCAGTCCCCTTAACATATCTTGGAGTGCTGGTTTGGTAGAGATGTATTCTTTTAGTCTTCTCTTGTCTGGGAAACTCCGTATTTCCCCTTCTATTTTAATGGAGCGCCTAGGTGGGTAGAGCAGCCTTGGCTGTAGGCCCTTGCTTTTCATGGCTTGAATATTTGTTGCCACTCCCTTCTGGCTTGTAGTGTTTCTGTTGAGAGGTCAGCTCCTAGGCGTATCGGGGTCCCCTTGTATGTTACTTTCTCCTTCTCCCTTGCTGCCTTGAGGATTCTCTCTTTGTCTTTGACAGTTTCCATTTTAATGATGATGTGTTGGAGTGGACCTCTTTGAGTCCCTCTTGAGTGGGGTCCTCCGTGCCTCCTGGATCCATGAGAGCCTTTATCTCCTCAAATTAGGGAAATTTTCCATCATTACTTTTTTGAGGAGGTCTCTATCCCGTGCTCCTCTTCTTCTCCTTCTGGTGTCCCTATTATATGGATATTATTGCGTTTCAGGTTATTCTGCATTTCCCTAAATCCCTCTTCATTCTTTTTGAGTCATTTTTCCATTTCTTGTTCTTTCTGGGAGCTTCTTTCTACCTTGTCCTCCATCTCACTGATTCAATCCTCGGCTTCATCCAGCCTGCTTTGGATTCCTTCTACTGTGTTCTTCATTTCAGAAATGTTATTCTTAATATCCTCTTGTGTCTTCTTGATAGTTTCTATGTCCTTTTCCAGGCTGATAGAGTTTGCTGTAAGATCCTGATAGTTTCTCTGCAGTTTCTCATAGTTCTCTTTGAGCTGGCTGAGCTCATTGAACTTCCTTATAACCATTGTTTTGAATTCAGTATCTGATAGTTCCCTCGCCTCTATTTCATTGAACTCTCTCTGTGGGCAGTCCCCTTTTCCACTCATTTGGGTCGAACTTCTTTTTCTTTCCACTTTTGTGAGAGTCTGTTAAATATTTTTGTCCTTTACTTTTCTTTCTGGGCCTGCCTCTGATGATGTCAGTTGTTGACCCTATAGGACCTTGGGTTGTTTGTTTGAGCCTTCCAGGAGTCAAATGTCTGTGTCTGACTCCTGCTTGGAGAAGCTCTGTTACCCCTTCGGTCGGGGCTGGGCTATATTTTGGGATCTCTCTGCACTCTCACGCGGGCTCCTTCTATTTTTATTTTCATTTGTTCATGAAACCACTAACAGAGAGGTATTGATCCCTTCTAGCTATACCACTACACTGAACATTATGTTCACTTGCAATATAATGTAGCTTTTCTCTATATAAAATTCCAATAAACACACAGTGGATAATTTTCACTAAATAAAATAAATAATGATGCATGGCGCATCCCATAATCTACGAAAAGATGAATTTATGATTTTAATGAATAGCCTGTAATAAAGTTTTAGTTTCAGCTGAGCTTAGTAAGTTTTTATTTTAAATTTTATTTTAATGTGAATTAGTATATTTAGTGAATCATTTTACATGTAGACACTGAGGAGTCTACAAATAAGACTTGATCTATATAAACATACCTTTATGAAAAGAAAAGAAAGACTTTTTAGTCACATGCATTTCAAGCCCTAAGCTCACTGAGCTACTGGAAACTGCAGAAGACTTTTTAATTGCCCAAACAATAGCGCATCTATGGTTCTGGGAATGTCTCTTTTCTTCCACTGTTAGTTTATTTATCATTCTAGTTACTTTTCTATGCATTTGTCAGATTTCAAATTAAGCATCTCCAAGCTTCTTTCCCAGGTTCCCATGAGACAGGTTGCACACAGTGAACATTAGTTTTCTTCAGTTATCTTGATAATACAATTTCAAGTGTTTTTAAAACCATGTATCTGTTCACTATTTCTATATTGACCATTAAAAATGTTATTTTGTGCTTAAAAATTGCAAAGGTTGCAATTTATAGTGTAAAAAAGTATTGATCTAAAGAAAACCCTTTAAAAATATTCAATAGAATATAAACATCAAGGAGATTAAATACCCACAATCCAATTTCCAATTAAAAGTTTTATGAACATTTAAAAAGAAAAAATATATTTATTTTAAATGTTAGCTCATGTCTTTTATTAACCCATATACAATTACTTGTCTTCTGGTTTGTAGAAGCAATAGGTCAGACAACATTTGCCAAAATAATGTCTGTCAAAGTGACTGGCCATAAAAACTCCAGCACCACATTCATCTGAAGGACACTCTCAACGAAGGCAACTGATTTTGCCATTCTCGTTCCACTTTGTAGTATTTCAGGACAGCCAGCTTAACCTTCTTTCTCTTAAGCTTATTCTCCTTGGGAGTGGTATAAGACTTCTTCCATTTCTTAGCATCACCACGAAGTCTCAACACAAGATGAAGAGCAGACATCTTTTGAATGTTGTAGTCAGACAAATTACACCCATCTTCCAGTTGCTTGCCAACAAAGATCAATCTTTGCTGATCAGGAGGAATTCTTTCCTTATTCTGGATCTTGGCCTTACATTTTCTATTGTCTCTGAGGATTCAGCCTCAAGAGTGATGGTCTTCCCCATAAAGATTTTGACCAAAATCTGCATCTTGTCAGTGAGTCCACCTGAGGTGGAGGAAAAGGAAGAAACCATCCTCCCCACCCCATAAACAAAAAACTCCACAATGATCCTTAGGCATGTATGACTTAAACAAAAATTCTAACTGAGTAACAACAATGGAGGTTGACTCCAACATTTAGGACAGCTGTTCTCTAATGCAGAGGAAAGAATATATCATAGTATCAAATGCTCTCTTCTGAAGAAAGAAGTGACTACAGAAAGCTTCCAAACTAACCAGTACTATAGATGTAACCCCAAACAACTCCCCCAGTACTACAAAACAAACATATCAAACTTGATTTTTATTAGAATGTAATTATTTCTTCACTAATAAACTTAAAAAAAAACCCAAACCCAGATTCATAGAGGGAGAGAGAGAGAGAGAGAGAGAGCACAATACAAACAATTATTGGGCTTCATCTTCTGGACAAGAATGCCAAGGTAGTCTCTCTTCATAAAAAGCAATTAAAATTTGAGGACACTTCATATTTGTCTCTTTTGCAAGCACAAAATCTGCCTCATTGGAATCTTTCCACTTCATGAGAAACATGAATTCTCCACTGACGTCTGTGGCACCAATTATTTGTTCAAGATCAAGACCTCTGACAAAGCCTCTTGGTTTATCAGCAGCATCTCTTTGATTTGCTATTATCAGATTCACTGTCAAAGACTTTCTTTTTGTACTATCTTTTTCTTTACCAACTTTTTGAGAATTAAAAAATGCTTCAATTAACTCTGGACAATTTAAATTTTCTTCAGGTTCCCAAGTATCGTCAGCCTCTGTGAATTCCTTCCACTTCAGGAAATATTCCACCTTCCCATTCACTACTTGTTGGTCCAATAATTTTTCCACTACAAATTCTTCAGGCTCTGCCTCTTCAACTTTTTTACTCTTTCCATTCTGTTTCTTTCCCATTTTTTGCAATGTAGTTTTATTGGAGGCGATTTTTTTTCATTTAATTTATTTTCTTTATTTTTTCAAATACATTGGTCTTTGCCTTCCCCCCACCACCTTCCCCTACTCCCTCTTTGCCTCCCTCCCTCAATCCTTCCCCTTTGGTTTTGTCCATGAGACCTTGTTACACATTCCCCAACCCTCCCATTCCCTTCCTTTTCCCTTAGACTTGAAGAGCTATTATTCACCACCTACATGCTGCTCCAGATCCTCCCAAAATCTTTTTTTTTTGATTCCTGAATATGTATTCCAGATTTTCATGTAATTTTTTCTTATAATTTATAATGGAAAAAAGTTTAGCCCTCAACCAGACATTTTTTGTGTGGCACAAATTTACATATTTTTGAAATTTTCAGTGAACATATGCTCTATGTATTGAACATTCACATTTTTAATTATCATAGTATCAGTACAGACTTGATCAAAATAACATAAATACATTTAAAATTATTGCTGAATAACAATAATGAAAAGCTCTAGTAAAAAATAAAAATGTTTCTATTAATTTATATATTCATGATCTAAATTACCTATTTCTAGAATGAAGATGAGGCCTACACTCATATTTTGATATCATTTGTATAGACAAGTGTTCATATACTTAATATAAACAAACAAATGGACTGAATTTATGTTATTGAAATTCACCCATTTTTTATCATCTTTCAAGTTATATTTTTAAACATACTAATAATAGTAATGCAATTAAAGAAAATAGTATAAATATGTGTGTATTTGCATAAACATTTTCTATACATTTATGCTTGTGATCAGTTCTATAACCATACATATGACATTGAAACATGAATTCCCAATCCTCTGATGGATTAGTATCTGGGAAGAAGATGGAACATCGATTAAACTATTTTTAAAATGTGTCTTTATGTACTGTTTGATTTGATAGTTAGAAGTTATTTAACAAAATATATTTAACAAAATGTGGTGGAAATAATGAAACTCAATCCTTATTTATGAAAACTTGGGCCATTATTATCATATGTGTGTGTATGTGTGTGTGTGTGTGTGTGTGTGTGTGTGTGTCTGTGTAGTTACTAAGTTCAAGGGTCTTGGAAATATTTAAATTTATAAAATAGTGCTGTTTTGGAACTGTGTAGCAAGTCATTTCCTATGAAAATTTTAAAAATAAATTAGACTAATTAACAAATACATTATTTCAGTGGTCTATTTTTAATTACAAATTATTTTCCTGAGTTTGTTATTAAGCATAATGTTCCCCCTCTTGAAACCAGGACAAGAGACAGGGTGCTATGTCTTTATTGTTTTCAACAAAGACCTGTCATCTGCCTAACTGTGCATCAAAAAAGTTTTCTGTAGAGCTCTGTTTACTATTTTAGGGTTGACTCAAATTTCTCCAACTTTACTCCTCCAGTACATTGCTATATATTTATACTATATATTTTGCTTTCCAAGAATTCATTAATCTGTGTTTCTGGGGAATAGAAGATATGTAATTTCTTCTATTAAACATCAGGTATAACAAAAACAATGTAGATTTGTGGGGTCTTGATTATGTGCCCCCATTGACTCTCAACAAAGGTTTGTTGAGGCAATGTTACAATCCCCATTTACAGATAGAAAACTTGAAGCATGGAGAAATGGTTAAATGACTTTTTCAAGTTAAACAGCATAATATGGAGACAGGAAGTGCATCCAAACAATTTGATGCCTAAACTCTTCTCTAACAACCTCACTCAGATCCCATTAAAGTCTTGACATGAAGATTAGAAAGAAACAAAAAACAACTACAATTAAAAAAAATACTGGGAACAATATGGTTTCAGCCAATCAGATTTAATAAACATTCCCTATCGTGACACAAAAATGTGGTTTTATTTATAATCTCCAAAGATACAAAGAGCCCTTTTTTTAGAGGTTGTAACAGATTTCTTTATTTACCATGCTGTACATCTGAAACTACAACAGAATAATATTGAATCTAAACTGAAATTGAAAATAAAATATATATAAAAGAAAGAGAAAAAAATGTTCATTAGCCTTTAAGCAAAACCGGTGTATAGTGTTCTCTTATCTGAACCTGTAATCTGGAATTTCTAGTATTAGGAGCTTTACTTCATTTTTTTTTGAGAATTTAAGTTCATTATGGTATAATAACTAAAAGCTAATTAAACTATGTGTACTTCACTTCATATGTAGATGTTTTGTTTACCTTGTGATATTGTGATTTATAATAAGAAATGTGTATTTGGTCTTTTTCCCCATTTTTGGCACAGAGCTCTTAAAACCTCTGGAATTTCTTAAATGAGGAGAGTGATAAGGTATCTTTTGTGATGTTAATAAGGTGACCTCTGGAAAGTCCCTAGATCACTGAACGTTGGGCAGATCACCTGATACACCAACTAAGAGATTAGAAGTTTGGAACTTTCAGTCCTACCCGGCTGACATCCAAGGAAGAGACAGGGGTTGAAGGTTGAGTCAGTCATGATTATGTAATTAAGCCTCCATAAATACCCAGAAGGAAGTTAAGTTCTGTGTTAGAGAGCACATGGAGATTCGGGGAGAGTGGTGTGCCTGGAGAGTGTCTGGAATCCTTTTCTTTTTCACACGCCTGCTTAGGCATCTCATTCATCTGGTAGTTCCTGAGAAGTATCCTTCTGTAATAAGTCAGTGATCTAGTAAATAACGTATTTCTCTGAGTTTGTAAGATGTTCTAATAAATTAATCAAACCCAAGGAGGGCATCCTGGTAACCTCTGATTTATTGCCAGTCAGGGGGAAAGCTGACAACTTGAACCTGTGATTGAACCTTAACTTGTGAAATTTGATGCTTTCTCCAGGTAGATAGGCATCAGAAGGGAGTAAAATTGTAGGACACCCAGCTGGTGTCCAGAAAACTGCTTATTGGGGCTATGGGGAAACCCCCACCACTCAAGTTGGAATTGTTTTCAGAACACAGAAGACCTGCTTCTAATACTATTTAGCCATGATCTTCATATTTGAACACATTATCTTAGATGGTATGGATATTACCTGTGATCCACATTCACCTTTGTCTGTTTCCAGTCTAAAAATGACATATAAATGTGTGCACACATATGTACATATACATGAATACACACACATCTTTTATATAGTAGAATATGGTATGAACAAAGAAGATTTCTTACATAATTAGTTAGGGTTTTATAAGTTTCTAGAGATGGAGTCATCCCCACTTCCTGGTACACAAAGAGAGATGCCCTTGCAATTGGAGATTCCCTTTATGAATGTAAATGTCTCTTACAAAAGGATAGTTTCTCAGTTTTAGAGCTTTCCCTATATTTGCAATTTCTTAAAAATAATTGATTAAAATAATCCTTATGTAAAGAGACATATTTTGGGTAGTAAATTATGCTCCCCTCCACAAGCATCACTCTTTATTAAGTGTCATTATTAAGTAAAATCAGGGTAACTTGAACACAAGCCCTTTGATGTAGTAACAACTGAACTGATAACCAGCACAGCTACTAAGTGGCTAATGGACAGGTCACCTATACAGCAGGATACAGTGGATAAAGAGGTGATTCATATCCCAGGTGGGACAGAGCCAGATGATGAGAGATTTTGTGATGTTATTTTGAATGGTACACAATTTGAAACTTATAAATTATTATTTCTGTAATTTTCCACTTAATATATGTGTACCTTGGTTGATCAAGAGTAACTGAAACCATGGAAAGCAAAATCGTGGACTGGTGGCAAGGGGGTGGGGTGATTACTCTAATTGCCCCTATCTCCACTTCTGTGTCCAGAATGGATTATCTTGATTAAAAAAAAATGATGAAGTTCTCCAACCTGCAAAATGAAGAGAGGAGGCTTAACCCAAATGATGGGTCTAAGAGCAGAGACACACTGCAGCCCCTAATGCAAGAAAGCAAACTATTTATTGTTGTCTATGCTAATGAGAGTTGATAACATGTTTTCTAGGCCAGTAGAGGCATAAAAGTTCTTTGATTTGCCCCAGTAAAGAAAAAAATCTGTAATGACATTTAAAATTAGCATCAAAGAAACTCTTGTGTTTGATCACAAGAGAGAGAGACAAATATCAATTGAGAGAGAAACATAGATTGGTTGTCTCCCATATATGCCTGAACCTGTGATTGTATGTGCCTGGATTGGGGATTGGACCCACAAAGCTTCAATTATGGGATGATGATCTAACCAACTGAGCCACACCAGCCAGGACTAGAGTATTATTGACTACATTCTTTATGCTGCACTTTTCATCCTCATGACTATTCTGTAACAAGCAATCTGTATTTCTCACTACCTTCACTTCTTTCACCTAACCCCTCAATGTACCTCCCATCTGGCAACTATGAAAATGTTCTGTATATATGTGAGTCTGTTTCTGTTCTGCTTGCTCATTAATTTTGTTTTTTTTAGATTCAATTATTGGTAGATATGTACTTATTGACATTTTATTGTTCATATTTTTCTACTTCTTTTCAGTTAGGCTGAATAGGAAGAGGGGGGGTTGAGTGTCATGATTATGTAATTAAGCCTCCATAAATACAGAAGGAAGTTGTTTGTGGGATTCGGGGTTGGAGAGTGTCTGGATCCTTTTCTTTTTCAAACATTAAAGGAGACCCTAAAGGGTCTCCTTTACATCTATTATTACATTTCATGTAATACTGGTTTGGTTGTGATGAATGCCTTTATCTTTTGCCTTCTCTGAGAAGCTTTTTAAATGTCTTTTGATTCTAAGTGATAGCTTTACTAGGTAGACTGACTAGTCTTGGTTGTATGTCCTTGCTTTTCAGCACTTTGAATATTTCTTGTCAATGCCTCCTGGCCTACAAAGTTTCTGTTGAGAAATCAGCTGATGGTTTATGTGATCTCCCTTATAGGTAGCTAACTGCTTTTCTCCTGTTGCTTTTGAGATTCTCTCTTTCTCTTTAACCTCCTCCTGCCTTTAAATTATGATGTGTCTTGGTGTGGACCTCTTTAGGTTCATCTTTTTTTGGC